CTACTCGAATCTTTTCATTCCAAATCAACTGCTTTCCTAGACATGCACTGCATTGCCGAATCACTCATGGCCATTATTAACATGCTAAAGTAGCAACACTGATTGACACTTCAAGAAACAGTAAAAGGTCAAAGGGTATTCCAATAAAAGTTAATGTAACGTCTTTGGGATCTCACACAATGAAGAAGAAGGGATTCATTCTTCCATTATCCCATTGGTCGATAGCACACGTGGTATGAAACACATGTTACGGTGTTCTCACCTTATATTGGCGCGTGTGTCTTATTCTTTTAATCATTCAACACCGTACAGATCTTGGTCTAGACACCTCCAAATGTCTAACCCGAGTTTCTCACTTCAATAATCCTCAAACCATCTTCTTAGAGAAACTTGCATCTGGCTTACAAAACAAGTCATAATCGAATATTAAAATTCATAAGTCTGATTAGTTATCAAGATCGACCTTTACAAGTAAATATAACCTCACATTATCCAAGGTTCTATAAGGTCTTATCTCTTCACGTTTCTTAACTTAAGAGGCGATCGCTCGTGTGAGAGAGCCAATCTAGCGACTTGTTCGACACACTTTATCAATAAAATATTCATCACATGCATACGAGATATAAGCACAAATTCAAGAGTCAAATATTGATGAGCATATTATAATACTAAAGTCATTTTACAATACATAAAAATGTTCATGTCCTTCGCAAACCTAGAGCCATAACATGTTTCCCAAACAGGTCTCTAGATATCGCCTTTGTAAAAGGATCAGCTATCATGCTTCGCGTAGGAATGTACTGTAAATTTATCTCTCCACTTGCTACCATGTCTCTTACAAAGTTATACTTCATGTCAATATGTTTGGTCTTGCTGTGATACTTTGGATCTTTTGTATATGCAATAGCCGCTTGACTATCACAATATAGAGTCATGGCACCCTGAGAGTTCTTTGCAATATCCAAATGCTCAAAGAACCTCTTCAACCAAATAGCTTCTTGTACTGCAGACGCACAAACTACGAACTCAGCTTCCATTGTTGAAAGGGTTGTACAGGTTTGTTTCTTACTTTTCCATGATATAGCACCACCATTAAGTAAGAAGGCATAACCGGATGTTGATTTTCTATCATTCCGATCACCAGCCCAATCAACATCTGTATACCCTCTCAAGTATAAATCATTTCCACTATNATTCAACACCGTACAGATCTTAGTCTAGACACCTCCAAATGTCTAACCCGAGTTTCTGACTTCAATAATCCTCAAACCATCTTCTTAGAGAAACTTGCATCTGGCTTACAAAACAAGTCATAATCGAATATTGAAATTCATAGTCTCATTACTTATCAAGATCAACCTTTACAAGTAAATATAACCTCACATTATCCAAGGTTCTATAAGGTCTCATCTCTTCACGATTCTTAACGTAAGAGGCTATTGCTCGTGTGAGAGAGCCAATCTCGCAACTTGTTCGACACACTTTATCAACAAAATATTAATCACATGCATACAAGATATAAGCACAAATTCAAGAGTCAAATATTGATGAGCATATTATAATACTAAAGTCATTTTACAATACATAAATATGTTCATGTCCTTCGCAAACCTAGAGTCATAACATGTAATAAAATATCGTCCACATAAAGAGAAAGAATTACAAACATCCCATTAGACTTCTTCACATAAATGCAATGGTCTTCATCGATCATGGTGAAATCATATGAGATCATTTCCTTGTGAAAATATCAAATACCATTGCCTTGAAGATTGCTTCAGACCATAAATAGATCTTTTCAATTTACAGACCTTCTTTTCTTGGCCTTTAACGATGAAGCCTACAGGCTGTTCCATGTAGATTTCTTCGTTCAGTTCTCCATTGAGAAAAGCTTTCTTCACGTCCATTTGATGTAATTCCAAATCCAAACGTGCAACAATAGCCAAAAGTAAGCGAATTGAGGTAAACTTCACAACTGGTGAAAATGTTTCCTCATAATCTATTCCAGCTTCTTGAGTAAAGCCTTTTACCACCAATCGTGCCTTGTATCTTTCTATTGACCCATCCGCTTTGTGTTTAACTTTGAGAACCCATTTGTTCCCAATGGCTCTACGCCCAGGCGGAAGATCAACTAGATCCCAGACTTTGTTGGTTTTCATGGACTCTAATTCTTCTTTCATTGCTTTCATCCACTCATCTTTTCCAGGGCTCGATAAAGCCGCAGTCGCAGACTTTGGCTCATCCATTTCTGTGGGAGATACCAAGAAAATATAATCTTCAATTTCATAAGTACGTTTGGGTATATTTTTCCTAGCACTCTTTCGTAATTGAAATTCAAGTTCGTCAGAAGGATTTCGGGATTGAGAGTTCCCACTCCCACTCCCATTCGGATCAAGAATAAGATCTTGATCAATTTGATTATCAACTGTGTCAGAAGACACTTGCTGACTATCTAAGTTCAACATTTCATAAAGAGGCTCTCCATTCTTTACTTCGCCCTTCTTTGGAAAATCATTTTCCAAAAAAGTGATATCTCGCGATTCAATCTCAGTAACACTTCCATCCTCTAATTCACCAATGAACACATACCCTTTGGAGTGTTCTGAATATCTTATAAAGATACATTTCTTGCCTTTTGGACCTAATTTACCAAACTTGCTAAAAGAATCTTTTACGAATGCAGCACAACCCCAAGGTCGTAAATCTTTTAAGTTTGGTTTATGACCAGTCCATAGCTCATAAGGAGTGGAAGAAACTGATTTAGAAGGAACTTTGTTCAATATATAAGTTGCAGTCAATAACGCATCTCCCCAAAAGGAGATAGGTAAATTTGCCTGCGCCATCATGGACCTTATCATGTCCAGTAGTGTTCTATTCCTCCTTTCTTCTACACCATTTTGTTGAGGTGTGTATGGAATAGTTAACTGTCTGGTGATTCCCTTTTCATTGCACAATCCTTAAAATTCTTTTGAAAGATATTCACGCCCTCTATCAGTTCTTAAGGTCTTAATCCTTTTGTCTAATTGATTCTCAACTTCATTCACATATTTCTTAAAGCATTCAAGTGCTTCAGATTTATGAGAGATCAGATAGACATAACCAAAGCGTGTGAAATCATCAATGAACGTAATGAAATATAAAGCACCAGACCTAGCCCTCACATTCATTGGACCACAGATATCAGAATGGATTAATTGCAATGGAAAATGAGCTCTCTTAACCTTTCCAAATGGTTTACGTGTAATCTTTCCGGCAAGACAATTTTCACAAGTTGGCATTTCAATTTTAGAGAAAGGACCTAGATGTCCTTCCTTAGCCAATCTATTCATTCGATCCTGCCCTATATGACCTAATCTTGCATGCCATGTAATAACATCAACATCATTGTTACTAGAATAACATGCCATAACACAACGGTCAACATAATAGTTATGCGTAGAAGGATTACAATCTAACATAATAAAACCATCATAACGATGTCCAAAACCATAAAAAACATTGTCTTGAGTAATTCTAAGACCACTGCGACTAAAGTTCAAATTGAAATCTAAATCTAGAAGAACAGACACAGATACTATGTTTCGTTGAATCTCTGGAACATATAGGACGTCATGCAACATCAAAGATCAGCCACCACGCATGTCCATTCTGCAAGTGCCTATCCCTTTGACTTCATGCTTAGCATTATTTCCCACATATACATGCTTTGATCCAGGTGGAACTCGACGAAACTCTATAAACGCTTCTCTATCGCGGCTCACATGGTCGGTGGCCCCTGAGTCTACAATCCACATAGGATAAGATTCAGTTTGTAAAACAGTGCTAGAAACATATATAGCACTAATAGATGCGCTTTGAAATGCTACCTTTTTCGGCTCAGTGCACTCACGAGCAAAATGCCCTGGGACTTGGCAACTGTAACACTTCATCTTGCTCTTGTCTTTCTTCTTGTAGAACCGTTTTCCTTTCTTGGAATTTGGCTTGTTTCTTTTCTTGGAGGGTCCTTCTCCGATCTCCTTACCCTTTCCGTCATTTTTCCAGTTTCTCTTGCGCTTGAAGCATGATCTCTTTGTACCACTTGATTCTGCCACAAAGGCATTAGGTACATCTTTAGCAGCACCAAGCCGCTCGTCTTCAAGCTCCACATGACGGGCAACATCAACAAAAGTTTTGATGCTATCATTGTGGGTCAAGTTAACCTTCAAATGTTTCCAATTATTGGGAAGAGACTGAATCATAGCCTGAACCTGCTGCTCATCAGAGAGAACATGGCCAACACTTTTGAGTTGAGCAATCATATTTAACATCACCCTTAGATGTTGCTTGACACCGTGATCATAACGCTTTTTGTACGTGTCAAACTTGATTGTCAGCTGTCGAAGGCGAGTCACATTCGTACCCCCATATGCCTCTCCTAAATGTGCCCACATGGCTTGAGCAGTAGGATATTGCTCACATTCGTGGATGAGATCATCAACAACTGAACTTACAATAATTCCACGTGCAGTGGAATCTTTCTTTTTCCAAACATTGTAAGTTTCCAGATCCCTCCTGTGTTGGGCAGTGTTACCCTCCTCTGGGTGACTCATAACATGGTTAATACTTTCAAGAGCATCTTGCTCTTCGAGTACATATCACATCTTACGACTCCAAATATCGTAATTTTCACCATTCAGTTTGTCACCCTTGTTCAAGTCAGCAATGATACTTTTTATGCCATGTCTGTTATTAGAGACAATATTACAAGTTTAACTCATCAATATATACTTCAGTTAATTTATGCATGTGATTACACACTCAAGAAAATTAATTATAATATTAATTCTACATTTAGTATAGAATCGAACGGTCACTACGTTTCCATTTATCATCTATATCTAAATATTTTTAATTAATATTAAGATCCCTCCTTAGTGTGTACATATTTTAAGTCTCAATCCATTACAAAAGGATATAATAAACAATGTATGTAACTAGTGAGACAAAAAACATAATATAAATTTCATTAAAATAAAACACATAATAACTCTTGCTCATATACACTAAAACGTGCACTAGGCCAAACATCATGATAAATCTCAGTTAAAATTTCACCCCAAGGCTCTCGAAGAGAGTCCGCTAAAATAGCTAATGCTTCCCAATCAGTAATTTCTATGTAATTAGCCAATTCAACTCTTTTTATCTTAAAGAGGTGTACATGTTCAGGAACGGAAATATCAGGGCCCATTTTAAATTTCTTAAACTCCCTAAATTTCTTTTCTCTTTCCCTTCGTTCAGCCCTTCGATCCCTTAACTTATTTTGTCTCGCCCTTGGGACATTCCTGATGACTTCAGGCTGCGAGTCTGAATCATTATAGAAATAAGTCCTGCGGCGACGTACCCTTCTATGTTGTCCTCTTCCTTGACTTCGAGAACTCCCACTAGGAGTAATTCGAACATGTCCTTCTTCAGCCATATCTGAAATAGGACCAAGGAAACACTTAGAACAGCTACAACCATTCAATGTGACAACACATATCACAATTACTTGTAGAAGGATATTAATCTAAGGGATTAAGACTAACCAAAAATTTCTATTTAATAAAACAAGAGTTATCTACTGTCAACAAATATATATTAATTATAAAACAAATATGGAAATAACCTTATTTTGCTTCTGTGTTTTCCAACTTTGAACAAGATTTTTTTTTAAGAAAATACAATATCCAATATACAGAAAGTGTATCTGGTCAAGATTGTACAAGTGTTTAAGATTGTACCAGTGACCTACGCTCATAGTCCTTAAACATATTTAAATGGAATGGTTTGTCTGGATTCATTCTCTTCAGTTTTAGGAATGTATATGCTAATCTTAGTTGGTCACGTGAAGTAAATTGGTCAACTTCATTGAACCAGAGGCAAGAAAACAAATTTGACATTGGTATATGTGCTCTGACAATAAAAGAACCTCCAGGCACATAGCTCTTGGAGAGAATAACCAATCTTTATGAATTCTTATTTCTTGAATAGATTTCTTTCTTATAATGCCAAAAGAATAAATATAGGCACAACTACTGTTCTTCAAAAAAATATATCAACTCAATTTTACAAAGGATTCAAATACTCATTACGTGGGATTGTAAAAAAAAAAAATTTTGAGTACGTGAAGCAATGAGACAACAGAAAAACATAATTCTTGTTTCTCAGCAAGCACTGATTTTAAAAGATCTTGTGCATTGCAATTGAATCCTATATGCCTGTCCTTTGTCAGAAAGTTGGCCAGATCTGAAGCTTCTAAAGAGAAATTTGCAAACACTTTGAAGCAGTAGTGTTTGAAACTAAAAAAAAATATCACTCGGTCAAATAAAACACCAACAAATTACAAAACATTATTACTGGACAGCAAATCCATTAAAGTTTATAGAGGAAGGATATAAACATATCATATTTCACATATGTTGCTGCAAACAGTACTACTTTAGCAGAGAAACAACGGTGGCTCTGATGCCATTGTTAGATTAAACCGAGGGGAGAGAACAACGAGTGTGTACCTTATTGATGCAGCGGAAACTGTTGAACTTACCACCAAAAGAATTGCCCCAAATCGTATTCTGAATCTACAGGAAACAGAGTTTTTTGTTCACAAACTAAATGCCTAAAGTTCACTGTGTTCTTCCCTTTTCAATTTTTTTTTGCCCTGCAGAATCTCTGTACTGAAGAGAAGTATATAGAGAAGAGGAGATGGGGAGAACTACCGATGAAAACCACCACTCCACGTTCTCACGTCTCTCAAAAGAAAACGTGCGGTAATTTTAGGAGTAATAAAACCTACGTGTAACCTCCTTAGGTTTTATCTCTTTTTAAAATGGGTCGGGTCAGTCCACATGGGCGACCCACGACCCAACCTTATATCCAACAGAACTCATTATACATCCTTCTGAAACTGGAATGAGATCATTTTGAAAAGAAGGAGAAGAGAATATATGCCAAGTAAATTTATGAAATTATTTAAGCTTCTTAACGTCATTGGACTGGCTGTGCCGTGAAAGAATATAGTACAAAACTTTAGGAAATCTGCAGTTTTGTAGAATGTTAAGGGAATCCACATGTCTGCTGCAAAAGCAATTATCCCGCCTGGTTACCAACAAGAAGAGTTAAAAGCTTTAATAGCCAAGTAAAGTCCATTATCTATCTGGGGCCTGGGGGAGCTCCGAAGAAAGGCCAAGAAATAGCAAAAGTTAGCAGTAGTTACGTACCAATCAGTCAAAATAAGGGGTATGTTATAAATCTAAATATAAGCTCTGCATGATCACATTCCTGCAGTAATCAAGATACTAAGCACGACTAATATTATTGTACCTTTTTAGCTTAAAGTGGATATTGATCATCAGAGCACCTAGGAAAGCTAAAAAAAATTATCTCTGATCAGTTTGGGCGAATTATATTAGTATTAGTCAATTAAAAGAGGATGATGGCAGCACATGCTATGTATCCAAACCTTTACATGGCTACATGCAATATACCAATTACAAAGTTTGTTCTCATATATGGAAACAGTTCGCCCCAAGTAATGCCTTCTATAATTCTACGGGCTACTATTCTCAAACATTGAATGTTAGGGAATGAAAATAATCCAACAATCTGCTCTTTGATAACAAAATTAATAGTCACCAATTAACTCTCACATTCATACAGGTATTCTCATGAAAAAGGAGAGGGGGATATAATTAGCAAATATACCTTTTTTTAATCAAATCCCGAACAAGAACAGCGTGTAGACCAAACTCCATCGTTGTAATCTGGCCTACTCATCTGCAGCATAATGAACCTTATTCTCTTCTAGCTTTCACGTATCACGACATGAAAAAATAATTAATGTTCAAGCTTCAATACAAAGTAGGACTTGCTAATTGCTATATTAGATGGTGAACTCGAGCTGGCAAAATAAAGATAAAGATAAGTTCTCACCTTCTTACCAATGAAATATTAGGAAATCCTCACAAAATGCGTATAGTCCAATCCAGACCCCCTACCCTCATGTAAAAATGGAAAAAAGGAAAAAAGAAACAATGAAACAAGAAGAGATAACAGAAAGTTGTGGTCAGAACTAATCGCACGTGAATATCTTTTAAGATTTGGTTCACATGCTATTTGATACTGCTACATAGGCAAAAGTACTCAATTTGCAACTTCCATCCTAAATCTTAATTTTTAAACTTTTAAGCTGACATGTTGTAATCGGATCATTGTGATCAGACTTCTTTTCTCACATGCATCTGTAGGCCTCAGTAAGAATGTAAATAATTATCAATACAGAAGTTTTCACAAGCGTAGTTGCTGAAATCATTGATCATTTGGAGGTGCAGTACTCATCTATGTTATAACCAGCCTTTATAATATTAATATAAGGTGGCAATCTTCATGGTCCATGTTAATGGATAAGGCCAAGTGTGGTGAAGTCCTCAACCAAAATCTAACTTACATAATAATGTGACAAATCTGAGTTCCTTGCATTATACCAAGACCAAATTTTAGAGAGGTAAGAGATTTTTTGTCACATAATCATGTTGTTAAGTTGAACTACTATTATTTAGCTATGTTGTTAGTTTCTTCAAATATAGAAGTAATGCTCGGGTTTTTCTTCATTTTACCTCCCACTTGTTCCCTATTAGCATTTGTTTTAGCAGTAGCCTCCAAAACTATAGTCACAACAAAGTATGTAATCATTGCAATATATAGTGAAAAGTGAAGTTGAAATACAACAAAAATCCCCTTCAGATTGTACAACGGAAAGAATTTTTCAGGCACGAAACTTCAAAACTATAAATTGAAACATAAAGGAAACATACACATAATTCTGTTCCAATTGAAGAAATGACCCTGAACTCCAGGGAGTGCTTGACCAAGCTCCAACAAAAATAAAAACTGAAGGCCAGCGAGAGTAACGCAGAAAAACCGAAATTTTTTATTTTGTGTCTCATACAACTTACGCTAGTTGTATGAGGCAACTTTTTGTCTCACAGTTTTGTGGACCCAGAATTATGTGGACCCAGCAGTGTAAGATTGGGGTCTACAATTTTGTGAGACAAAAAGAAGCCTCATACAACTAGTGTCAGTTATATGAGACACAAAATAAAACTTCTACTGAGCAAGTAGCACACACAAAAATGTAAGTCTATATAAACAACAGAAAATTAGAAATTATACTTACCATAAGATATTTAGAAATCAGCAAAACAACATGACTTTTTTGCTTCTTTGCTCATTCATGAACAAAGCTGTAATAAGAAAACACATCAGTTGTTAAGGAGAAACACAGCAGGGAAAGGCGTCAAAATAGTTTTACTGTACGGGAAAAGAAAAAGGGGAAAAAGCAAACTGTTGTAAAATGATTTTTGTGTAACAAAACAAAGAAAAATAACTTTGGTGTAATGAACACAAAGTTAAATAATTTTTAGGTAACAGAAAAAGAAAAGTGACTTTTGGGTATCAAACATAAAAGTTTAGTGACCACTGGATAAAATTATCTCACACTTTTCAGGTCTAGAATTTTACTTTTATTTACGCAAAGGGAAAGAGTGAAGTCAACAACTACCACCAACGGGCATAACCAGTGGCGGACCCAGACTTTTAGACAAGCGGGTTCAAACATATACTGAAATCCTAAAAAGTAATCGGCAGTAAAAGCGATATTGAGTTAGCAATCAAACAGGGTTTACCTAGTGCTCTTTACTTTGGTTCTAACAAAATCTTAAAGAAAATTTGCCTGTAGCTCTAAAATTTTTTTGCAAGCCATACTGTTTCAAATATATATATTATATATATATATATATATATATATATATAATATATATATATATACCTTTAAAATTTAATAAGTTATTAAACTTCAGAAAATTTTACAAAATTATAACTGTAACAAATATAAGTTTGGTCTATATTAAAATACTAAATTCTATTTGTTTATTAATTTTAATTTAACTTGCATTAGCTGTTAGCAAAAAAAAAAAAAAAAAAAAAAAAGAAAAAGANAAAATTCCATAACTATGTAAAAAGACTAAACTAAAATAAGCATTAAAAGAAGACGAAGAAGAAGCGTAAGCTAATAACAAGGAGGACCAGCCAAGCTGTGAGCATCTCGACCAACTGAAACAAAATAATGCTCTTGCGGGTTCGAAGACGCGACCAATAGAAGAAGCTGACCCCGCGTGAACGGTTAAGCGGGTTCAACTGCTCATTCTTATACCAATTTTTGCTCTTGAAAAAATAATTCCCACAGAAAAATAGTGGAAAATATTTATGAAGCGGGTTCAGTTGAACCCTCTTAAACCTATGTGGGTCCGCCCCTGGGCATAACAGTCGGTCGAAAATCATGACGCCAACGGACAGTGGCGGATGCAGGATTTTAAAATCGTGGGTGCTCACTGATAAAAATTCTGAAAGAAGAGGAAAAAAAAGTTAAGTTATGGGTGCTCACTCAATATTTATCTAAATATTTTTATAATTACCTATACAAATTTACAAAATTTTGTCAAAGTTAATGGGTGCTTGAGTACCCAAAATCAGCATGTAGATCCTGCCAACGGAACTACCAAAATACCTGTGACGCCGAAGAGACCCTTAACTGCCGCTTCTAAATAGTAGGAGGAATAGGAAAATACGGAGGGAAGAGTTGCTCCAAATATCTTTATGGTCAAATTGCTATAAATTTACTACCTTAATATGTGGTACTAGAGCGGACCTGGATGCTTCGCCAGAAAGGAAACAATAGTTTAAGTCCATACTTTACTTTTTAGCTAATTCAATTTTGTGGGGGTTCAATTTAGGGAAATTTACGCGGCACATTAAATATTTATACTGTATTTATCATTCCTAGCTCTACTTTTAACAAATTTATTATTCATAGCTATATTTAAATTCTATAGTTATTCATGAAATTAAAAGATTAATTGTTTTAAACTGAAATAAGAGAGCAACAAGCTTGTGTAGCTCAGTTGGTTAGAGTGCTCACCTAGCTAGCGGAGGTCTTGAGTTTGACTCTGAACAAGAACATTTTGTTTTCTGTATTTCTGTACTTCTCCGTAGTTGTATATTGAATAATAACTACAAATAATAATTAGGCAAACTATAGTTACTAGATTCTAAACTATAATGGTTTAGTAGTTTATGAAAACTCCTCTCAATTTACGAAAGGGTTTGGCCAATGTTCCCTTTAATAATTTCTAACTCACTCTATCTTAAATCTTAATCCCGTACAATTAACACACACATATGGTCCAGATATTAATGTGCCAATTAGTTTTGTATCTCGTTTATTTAGTTTTCCTTTTAAAACTCGTGAAGGTGTCAACTAAAATGGTTAAAGTATATGTGAGAAACACTCTACTGAGTAAGGGGCTTAGAATAAATAGAAATGAGCAGGGGTGGCTCTAAGCAAGAGGCTAATAAAGCCTTTCTTTAGGTCCCCAGCAGCCCCAAAAATATTTTTAGTCGTGAATTTTCTATCTTATTTTCGCTTAGGTAATATTAAAGTTTATAGAAAAAAGAAAAAAAAAGCACAAACTCCTTATAAAAATAGAAATAAAGACTGTCTATTTTTTAACAATAGATGTATTTTAAAACTTTGAATTAAGCTACTCAAATATTCAAATTGGTAAATAATATTTTTACAATAAGATTCAAGGTAACACGTTGGAAATGCGTGGCTAACATCTTAATTAAATTAATTTTTTTTATTTTGTAAGATAACTACACTGCATATAAAAAGAAAAATTAAAGACCTCTTATTAAAATTTGGCTTGAGGCCACGAGTTTTATTGAGACGTCCTTGGAAATGAGATTGATTATATGTGCTGCAAGTTTGCCTAGCATGAGAAGAGTAAAATTGAGAGATCTATTTGGTGGGATCACGCTAGCGGTTTATGTTGTGTTTCACACTTTTGCAAAGTATTTTGGTTATTGCTTTTTTATTTATTTGTTGTCTCTCACATTGCTGATATTACTGTAAAGGAATCGTAATTAAGCATTGAGTTTAGATTAAACTATTGGAATATGTCTTCGCCTTTAAAAATATGGTATTTGATAGGTGGAATATTAAGATTCAACTCTAAGCTTGAAAGTTTGGGATATTGAGATTTGACCGACTAGTGTAATTGACATTATTAATCAATATTTCACTTAACTAAGATCATTTGAGGCCGTTTTGTTTGTGTTTTAGACGTTGCAAAGTTGGAGACTTGTCGTTAGCGAGGTAAGTGAGACTTTAAGCTTTGTTGTTTGCTTTTCTAAAATCCGTTTTGAAAATGTATTTTCTCTGTCCGGTCCATGTATTGGGACGAGCGTGTGCTTGACAGAATCAGTGGTCTATGACAAGCCGTAAATATATATTATTTTGTAAAAAATACTTAAATTATTGAATAAGTGATTTGTGGTGTGGCGTAGCCTCGTGGTAGGCGTTGGGGCCTTAAAAATATTTTTTCGCTGTCGTGATATATTTGGGGCATTGTATATGCTGTTGTGATAGATTTGGGGCATTGTGTATGTTGCCGTGAACTCATCGGGGTGTTTGATTAATTTTCTTCACTTCCGTTTATGACAAGTCCTTAGTATGAGTTGTGCTAAAGATATAAGTGTGTGCTGCTCAATATTAGTGTGGACAATTATATTGTAAAATAATTATTGTGCATATTATTTTTGTGCTCGTTGTGTTTTTTTTTCTAACACTTATTTCAGAAGTATTCAGAGTGGCGGGTCGAGGATCTTACTGAGTTATATTACTCACTGCTTACCTGCATGTTCATGCAGATAGTATTCATGATGACAGAGCTAGTAGCTGGCGCGTTTACTAGAGTTTATCCAGCTGTTGAGGTGAGCTACCGCATTGTTTGTGGAGGCTACCAAAAGAGTCCTTAGCATTAAATTATTGATTTTTTTTTGTTTACACGTTCATCTTTGGGTCTTTTGTAATCCTTTTAGATGTTCCATGATCTAGTGTGGGAAATGGGCTAGTATTTTAAATTTATATTTCGAGACATTAATCGTTTATAATTAGTTATCAACCTTTTCAATATTTAATTTATTAAATGCTTCGAATTAATTGGTTAAGTGTATAAAAAAAATTGGGTTGCCTGGCTGGCAGTGTTAGCTGGGTGCCAGTCACATCTAGGGGGTAGTTTGGGATGTGACAAAGTTGGTATCACAACCTAGGCTTTAAGTCCCGAGTCATGGAGCAGTGTTTGGTAAAGTCTTGTTCATGGTATGTAGACATCCATACTGTTATGCGGCACCTTCCTGAGATTACTTGGAAGGGCGACGTAAGGCTAAGCAACCGATGTCAGTGCAGTTACTATCCGCCAACTAAGGTCTCCTCCATACGCTAGACGAGATTGTTAGTCGTATGGGAAAATCAATGTCAAAAGCAATTAAGAAAACAGATAATTGAGAATTGAGAATGAAAGCTTGATTGCATTAATGAAAGCTATTACAGAAAGGCTACACGGTGTCGAGGGGGAGAGACATCTGTACAGAGAATTGTTTACTTGCTTGATTGTTTTATCCCCCCTAATAATGCTTAAAAAAATAAACCAAAGTTACAGGACTTGACCTAATTAAGCTATAGAGACACAATGGAAGTACATGAAATAAAACTACTCTAAATTTATAATGAAAAGGAGTGAGTTTTTTACAAGGTAGAAACAGGTCCGTTGACAGCAACCTTGTCTTTAGCATCAGGGTCTGCGCGTGTGGTGCTGTCTACGCGCGTGACGCTATTGGCATCTGCCTGCGGCTGGGTGCTGGTGATTAGCATCATGGTCTGTGCACACGGCGTTGTCTTGTCATGACCCAAATCAACCCGTC